CTATCTATCTATCTATCTATCTATCTATCTATCTATCTATCTATCTAAAATTATAATTATAATTATTGTAGGCATACACAATTAACAAACTTCAAATTTAGAAGAAACAAATAGACAAGAGACAACCACAAACAAATTAAAATATATACTAATAAGGAAAAGTAAAATGAAGAAAAAGATCTTAAATGCTATACTTATCAATAGTCATTGATTTACTACTGAATATGCTATATAGTATGTTCAATATAAAATATTATTGTAAAATATTACATCTCTGTCATAGCAGCACATATATCTGCATCTTTTGATGGTAGAAAATAATCAAATAAATAATCCAAAAATAATTTTCCAAAGAAATAAATGACACCTTTCCAACAATCATTCCTTGAAGTTTGGAGTAATGACAAATTTCATTTTCTCAATATAATTCTTTTAGTTCTCTTTCCCAGATTACTAAACATGTGTATTTTTTACTCTTTATATTTTATATTTCTTAACTGCCCTTTTCCCTTCCTGCCATAAATTCCACTGGACATTTAGTATGTTTGCTTCAGATGTTATGGCTAGGATTCTGTCCTATGCATATTTGGTCTGAACAGTACATTCATTCATCCTGCTATTTCAGGTTACTTAACTTCTTTTAGTGAATTAACCACTATTACTAGATTTTCTATAATCCATAAACCATGACCAACAACCAGAATATGCTAAACCAAAACTGAACTAGCCACAGGTGCAAAAATGCAAAAAAGGGATATGATTGTTTTTATTTCCCAATGCAATTTATAGCTTTGGTATTTCCTGGTAATCTCTCATCTAAGCATTAACCAGAACCAATCCAGTTTTTCTTTTCAAGATCTGCTACTGCTGCAGCTATTGTGATCCTTATTAATTAAAAAGGGGAAAAAACTGGGAAGGTATAGTCCTTAATATTATCTTTTGAGGCATTTTGAAGGTAGCTCTGTGTACAAGAGTTAGATTTTCTAAGCACTCTGTTTTATACATTGTGTCAGCTTAACACCATCTAGACCAGGGGTGTCCAACCTTGGCAACTTTAAGACTTGTGGACTTCAACTCCCAGAATTCCTCAGCCAGCAAAGCTTAATTTACTGAAATTTATTTCAATATATAACTATTAACTTTATATGGTTTTGCTGAATCTTTAGATGTCATTCTACTCTTATTTCAACATTAGAAATAGTCTCAGCCTTCCCAATTATCTTTCCAAATCATAATTCACATTGCCAGTAGCACCTGCCAAGGAGGCGGGAGAGAACAAAATGATGAAAGCAGCTAGAATAATAGGCTAGAATAATAAAAAATAGGCTAGAATAATAAAAACACATAATGTCACAAAAATATGTGGAAGGTTAACACTAAACAAGCTTCAAACAATGTGCACATGGACCCACTATCTCTTCAACTAACCTGGTTGGGCCAGTAAATATACCATATTTAATTTCAGTTCATATCTTGATATTTATTGTCAATAAGAATGTAGACAATAAGGATATCTTGACTATGTTAGTTGTAAGCCCAATGGGCTGCCATATGAGGTGGGTAAGTTCATTTGCAAGTCTTCAGGTAGAGGCTGGATAGTCTGTCAGAAATGCTGGAGTGGATCATCTACTGAGTTGGCAACTGGACTGGATGACCTCTAACAACCCCTCTAAACATAAGATTCTATTACCAAAAATGAATTTGAATACCGAACTCATAAATATTTGTTCTAAGGCCTCTAAATTGTTTTGATACCAATTTCAGTGTTCAATTTTCATCAGTATTCTTGCATTTTGTTTGGAATAAGTAACTCCAGTTTATTTCACCATCAGAAGTGTCAATTTAGTCTAGTGTCTTTTGGCTTATTATCACACCCCCAAGTGAATAATATGAAAATATCCTAATTATATGAAGGAGAAATATGCAGATCAACTTTGGGTCATGCTGTCCTTCCACCCAAGCCCTTCATAATAAAACAGGGTTTGTTTTATTATGGCCTAGATCACATTCCTTCACTATGACAACTGTGACCAGGTTCTATAAGTAGTTCATGCTTGGTGCCTTTCCTAATCAGAGCTGGATCAATGACATAATGACACAAGTAAGACCTAGATTGAATTCCCCCATCATGTCCGTTGCTATCATTAATCATAATATTTGTGCTCCTACAATTTACAAGAAATAGCGCTGTCAATTATCATAAACTGAGGTAGCAATGGGTCTGGTCAAACAGACAGGATGGGACAATACAAAATGGATTCTCTTTGCCATACATTTAAAGGGTCAGCTTTTGTTTCCCTGCCCAAGAAGTCCTACTTATGCTTTCAATTGCAGGTTGCATGTTTCATTCCCTTATTAAGTGGGATGGGAGGACTAGATTAAAAGAGTGGGGAAGAAAGCTAAAAATCCAATAGCCCTAATTTGCTCAGGGTATTTTCTTTCTTTTCTTTTCTTTTTTTAAAAGTGTCCACCAGTCAAGGAACTCAAAGTTAAGGTTTCCACAGCAACCTTAACTCTGCCCTCTTGTGCATGACAATGGGGGTCTTTCGTTACATTAGCAGACAAAAGATTGGGCAATGCAAGAAACTACTCCATAAACAATGCAACATAAAAGAAAGGAAATGAACCATAGCAGGCACTGCAGCATTTTTTACTAGTTTATATGTGGCAGTAACTGCCATTTCAGGTCTATTCTGAGAAGAACTGCTTATATAGTGGACATAGCAAACATCACCCTAGAAACCAGGAATGAATGAAGGGCAGAGAGGCTATCTTTTACAAAGTTATCTGAAGTATAAGATACAAGGAATGGCCCAGAAGGATAGTTTTAAAAGACAGGTCTCCTTCAACTCAGCAGGGAGATATCACAAAGCTTTGGCAAAACACAACAAAATAAAACACTGGAAAGAATCTTAAACTACAAGGTTGTTTATAATTTATAATGATAATATTTATAATGATAATATTTATTGAAAATTAGTCATATTAAACCGGTACCTAAATCCTACTAAAATAATGTAGAATTGCATTTTAAACACTGATATATGTTAAGTATGATAGTACAGGTAGTCCTCAATTTACAACAGTTCATTTAGGGACTGTCTGAAGTTACAATAGCACTGGAAAAAGTAACTTGAGACTTTCAAGAAGAGATTGGACTGCCATTTGTTAGAAATGGTATAGGGTCTCCCGCTTGGGTGGGGGGTTGTACTAGTAGAGGGGTCGCCAACCTTTTGGACCTCAGGGACCACCAAACTCATCATTTTAAATCCTGCAGACCAGAGACCATGGAAAATCCCCCCAAAAGTCTGCAGGAAAATCCCCCCACCCCGTTTTCCTACTGATCGATCATTCTTTATTTGGGATCACAGGATACCATCTCCAGCTCCGTTCTCAGGGGGGGAGAGAGAGAGACTTTTGGCTTCATGCAATGAAAACAGCAGAAGCAGGAGAAGTCTTTCTTTCTCTCCCCCAGAAATGAGTCTTTGGGAGACTTGTTGCGTCGGCGCAGCCTCTTGGAGCAGGGTCCCAAAGACTCATTTCTGGCAGAGTTTGGGGGAGAGAAAGAAAGACTTTTGCTGCTTTCCTTGTGTGCAGCCAAAAGCAGAAGAAGAAAGAGTGGAAAGAAGCAGTCCAGGCGCGCATGGGGCAAGTCTCCCTTCCGCCCTTTCCCCCCCTCCTTTCACTACCTCATGTTGTTCACAATGCAAGCGACGCGAGCCTTGTGTTCCCGTGGGCCATGTGGGCGGTGCAGCCTTGTGTTCCCGTGCACCTGGATTAATTGCTTTGGGGGTGACATTTCTATGTGGACCACCAAAATTTTCTCATGGACCACCAGTAGTCCCCGGCCCACTGGTTGGCAACCACTGGACTAGATGACCAACAAGGTCCCTTCCAACTCTGATTATCTGTTATCGGTTAACATGACCATTTTTCACACATACAACTGTTGCAGCACTTCATCAAATTTCAGATGCTAGGCAACTGACTCATATTTATGACTGTTGCAAAGTCCTGGGGTCACATGATCACCTTTGCAAACTTCTGACAAAGTCAAAGGGAAAGCCAGATTCACTTAGCAACCATGTTACTAACTCAACTACTGCAGTGATACACTTAATAACTTTCTTAACAAGAAAGGTCATAACATTAGCCAAATTAACTTAACCACTGTTTCACTTAATAGAACTTTTGGGCTCAATTGTGATGATAAATCAAGGACTACTTGTATTGCCATTAACATTTTAATCTGAGCAAAATTTTGCCCTTGCGTGTTTACTATGGGTAGGGAAATGGATGGAGTAAATTTAAAGACAGTCAAATGCTGGCAGAGGCGAATAGATGATATACGGGCATGCTGCGACGAATTCCTGTTTGTCAGTAGAAGCAAAACTGGCTGGGAATAAGAGCATGAGAGCTGGAAATACCAGGAGAAGCATAAAAATTGAATGCAGCAGGAATGGGGTACTTAAGACGGCTGTGGGACTAAACAAAAAGAGATAGGGTGAAGAATGAATGGGTGAAGAATGAATGTAGACAAATGTGGGTGATCAGTGTGAAAGGAGTGTGTTGATATGGCTTGGCCACACAGAAAGAATGAATGAGGACTGAATTGCAAAACAAACAAATACATGAAGGCAGAATGTATGGGTCGAGAGGAAGGCGAAACAGAATCATGGCTGGATGGGAGTTGGTGGGTCCTTCAAAACGAGAGAACCGTGAAAAATAAAAGGCAATGGTTAAAGGTACAGCATGAAATCAAGGATGGGATGAGTTACAAAGATAAGAAAATGTTCCTATATATTGGATTTAAGTGTACCACTTTTCCTTTTTCTTATTTCATGCCTTTCATTCTCTTTGCTTACTATTTATTGTTCCTTCTCTGTGTTTTGGATTAAGTTGCTTATTCAGAAAAGGGAACTGCATGATGGTTATGTATGTATGAATGTAAATTGACCTTTGCAGGACTGAATAAATTGGCTATTCTTGCTTGATTTGAACTAATGTGAAACACTTGTCATAGTCAGCAGATTCTGAGGAGGGAGTGGGAACACACCATTTTTCCACCTCCAACTTTCATCTCTTGTAACAGAATGCAAAATGCATGTTGCATTTTTGATGTACCAGTGGTCTGTCTCTTTTTTTAGATTTAATTTTTAATTAGGCTTAATTAAAGGCTTACATACTTTAATTCAATCCTTTTGAGAAGCGAGGAAAATGTTTATTTGCGAATTAGCAGTTTGCCATCAGTTACAATGGTCCAATCTCCATACATTCTAGAAAGTGCCAAAAGGAAACTCAACGGTCACATGTCTTCTGGAAGACATGTGTTGTCCACCCTGTTCATAAATCAAGCATCTGAGATTCAATAGGCAAAAACATGAAAGACTTTCATTTGCAGCAGGTCCTTGAATCACTTTCTACTTGTATTTTTGCCCCTTAACTCATCAAGCAATCATTCCTGAACCTACTCATGCTTACTACGTATAAACTGTAGATATTGCTTCTAAGTAAAATCTTGCATGCTGCGACTTAATGTATCATTTTGTGTTGTGTACATGGGATGGGTACAAAATTACCTTTGATCCACATAATAGCCAGAAATGAGAATACCAATTTTCTCCATGTTTAAAACATATACAGTTCTATCAATCTTTAATTTTTATGAATCATTCTTAAAATGGCCACAGAATTAGAAATGAAATTTGACTGCAGTAATGCAGAATCCAGAGTATTCAATAACCATGCAGATCTTAGAGCAGGGGTCTTCAAACTTTAAGACAGCTTTAAGACTTGTGGACTTCAATTCCCAGAATTCCTCCTCCAGTCATGTTAGCTCAGGAATTCTGGGAGTTGAAGTCCACAAGTCTTAATCTTACCAAGTTTGAAGACCCTTGTTTTAGAGTGAGGGCTGAAGCTGGCCTGGTAGGACAGTCTTCAAAACATGGTGCAGATGCCCTCCACTTCCAAGGTTGAGAATGACAGCCAAAACCCCATTTTCACATAGTAAATAAACATAAGATATCATGAAGGGCTTGGTTGCTTCTTGATTATTAGGTTTTCTAGTATCTGCAGTAAAACAACATATCTGTCCCAGAAGCCTTGACCTTGATTCCTCTATTGGTATTACCCAAATGCTGGTTGAAATTTGAAACAGAACTACTTCCATGCCCCGAATGAAGCTCTTTTATGAACAATCCTCCTTATATTGAAAAAAATAAAGAACCAATACTTCTAAGCCATTATAGTGAATCAGAACAGTAATTTATCTAGTCCAAGGATCTTCAAACTTGGAAAGTTTAAGACTTGCGGACTTCAACTCCCATAATTCCTGAGCTAACATGATTGGAGGAGGAATTCTGGGAGTTTAAGTCCAGAAGTCTTAAACTTGCGAAGTTTGAAGACCCCTGACCTAGTCCAATAATATTGATCCTGAATGGGAATGACTACCCAGAGTTTTAGACAAGCAAGATACCAATATTTGAACCTGTAATCTTCTGCTTGTAAAGTACATGCTTGAGGTGCAAGACATATATTTACAAAGAAGTGCTGGTTGAATTCTCTGTTTTCACTCATTAATTCACTAAGACATTTTAGATGGATGATTAACATATGGTCTTATCAGCCAACACAACTCCACATTTTTATAGTAGGGTCATAGTAAGAATAAGGTAAGGCACGCGGAGTAATTAGGGAACACATTGTACAAAAGTTAAGTATTATGGTTAAAATAACTTCAACATAATGTTTGCTCCACTGAAGCACTATGAATGGCTTCTAGATTAAAAAAAGAGGCTCTGATGGAATGAACAAGCAGAACAAGTAATCCATCTTTACAATTATGCAGATAGTGCCACAGACCAGTCTTCTCCAATCTATTGTATTTCAACTTGAAGTGTACTAACTATACATTCAGAGAGTTGCAGTCCCAGCACATTTGGAAGAGGCAACTTGGGGAAGGAAAAAGCAACATAATAGTATAAATCTGCTTGCAATCAATTAGAAATATTTTCACCCACCTCCTATCAAATTCAGATGGATCCTTCAGTCTCTTGCGGTAGGTCTTTAGCAAAATCCACTTGGAGCAAAGAGGCACTTTTGTAGGAAGAGAAGGCTTTGAAAATTTGAATTGAACAGTCCACTTTGGGCAGAAGCAGATATAACAGTTAGGCAGGTAGCTCGCATTGTATATCAGCCAGTCAGGACTCAGGATAGCATAGTCATGAACATGTAAAAGGCCACCTGTCGGCAAGGAAAAAGCAAGTGGACAAAGGAAAACAGGATCATGGATTGAATTGCTTTGTCAAGACAAAAAAGCTATCTCTGTACCCCAGCGCAATATAGCGATCTGACTAGTATGAGTAAGGAAACCTATAAGTGACCAGCTGAATTGTCTCAAACAGTAGAAAGCTAGGAAGAGGAATACTGCTTAAAGATAAATTGGCCCTGTATAAGTCTAGATTGTAATGGCGAACACAAACCCTAGCCAATAACACTGTGCAAAGGCTAAAATGCTTAGATTGCACCAAAAAATGTCCAAAAGACTTCATCTTTAGCAAACAAAGATTGTATTTATTTAAAATTGGCAATATTTGCATATCTAACTGTAGGCAGTGAACAAATAATGCTGCAGGAACAGCCTTCACGGTATTGAGCCGCGGTGGCGCAGCAATTAGAATGCACTACTGCAGGCTACTTCGGCAGATTGCCGGCTGACTGCGATTTGGCAGACTGAATCCCACCCAAGGTTGATTCAGCTCAAGGGTGGTAAAATAAGAACCCAGATTGTTGGGGGCATAATGTTGACTTTGTAAAACACTTAGAGAGGGCTGTAAAGCACTATAAAGTGGTATATAAGTCTAAGTGCTATTGCTATTGTCTCTAAGACTTTATTTTCCTGCTTAGTTTCTTTATGTGTTGTGATCTCACTACAAGTTTACTGAAGTCAGATTTCATGAAAGGCTTGGATAAAATGTATATGAAGGCAATTATGTCCCAAACTTGAGACAAGAATGCAAGAAAACCACTTTTTTAAAAAACTACTATGAACTATCACAAGTTCTGGTAACTCAAGCCTGGATATTTTTTCAGGGTAAAAAAATTCAATGGAATTGAATGCTTTGGGAATTGGTAAAAGGCGATGGATAGCATCTATTGAGATGCCATATAGTAGATCACTATACTGGGTTGGAAGTTGGACTGTTGATCTCCAAAGATATCTCATAATCTTACATTTAGTGATTCTACAACTAACAAAAAGTAAAGTAAAGTAAACATTTTAAACAAAAAATGACAAGAATAGTGGTTAGTCATAATGTAAATACTTTCTATGTAAAAACTGCATAGCATCAGATTTATCAGTATATCATGCATGAGGAAAAACAGAACAGAAAGGTATGGTTGAGACCATTGTTCCCAAACAGAATATCTTGGCAAATGGATGGCTGTGTGCCCATTCCATTAAATAGACATAATTTCAAAATAGCATTCTTGGACTCAACCTTAGCAACTAAGATATATGGACTTCGACTCCCAGAATTCTCAAGCCAGTTTGCCACGAACAAAAGTGTGAATTAGAACTTGTTCAATGAATCACCCAGAGAATATATATAGCAGGGCTAAGGCAACTATGCCAATTTTGCAACCTGTGGACTTCAACTCTCAAAATTCCTAGCCAGGCTGCCTCAGGAATTCTGGGAGTTGAAGTCCACAGGTCATAAAGTTGCAATAGTTGCCCCTTCCCTGATATATAGTGTAGTTCTTAAACAAATTTGATATCTATATGAAATAACTAGTAATGGAGAAATTGCCTGGTTTAATATTGTTCCAATTTAGATGCTTAGATGAACCAGGATCTTTCTTTAATAAAATCCTGAGGTATGGAAAGGCCAAGCCCTGGAATGAAAAGACAGACTCAAAGCTGTTGGCCTGAGTTGAACTTCCTTATTCATCATATTCCATCCTTATGGACTGTCCCCTGGGATTTCAAGACAGCAAAGACCCTTACCTGTATTAAGAGAAATGCTGAAGTCCCAGAGAGTCGGTATCAGTGGAAGAGAGAAAAGAGAGCTAGGGCAGCCAGTTGAGTGCGTGGAGGAGGTGACCCAAAGACCAGCCTTGGATGCTACTATAAATAGTCCTTGACTTACAACTACAATTAAGCCCAACATTTTCATTGCTAAGTGAGGCAATTGTGAAGGGAGTTTTGTCCCATTTTGTGACCTTTTTGGCCACAATGCTTAAGCAAATCACTGCAGTTTTTAAATGAATCTGATTTCCCACCACCCACCCATTGACTTTGCTTGTTGGAAGCAAATGCTTCATAAGCCTTCCAAAGATGCAGATCATCTACAGTCAGCCATCAAAAAGTAACTGTATTTTTAATTCCTATGAACCAAAATCCCAAAAACCAAAAGCAAAAGAAGCAACTCAGGAAAAGGGATCAATTACAAGCCCGGGAAAAGATGTGGGAACATTCTTTTTATTGCTAGTCCATGTGTGCCACGCATGTCAAACTCGATTGCATTACGTGATGTATCGTGACGTATTGTGCCTTTGTGGAGCTGGGGTGGGCATGCTCTGCGCCTGACGCATCTAGCCTGCGGCTCGCCGTTTGACAGGCCTGATGTATGCCATTCACTAAATAAATAAATACATAAATAAATAAATAGTCTTTATTGCTGTAAATCAGGGGTGTCAAATTCAAGGCCCAGGGGCTGGATTTGGCCTGTGGGGTGCTTACATCTGGCCTGCAGGGCCGCCCTGAAAATAGTGAAGGACTGGCCCATGGTGCCGCTACCAGCAAAAACGGAGCTCAGGAGGGCCCTCCTGAACTCCATTTTCACTGGCAGATGGTTGTAGGAGGCCACTGCAGCCAACAATGGAGCTCAGAAGCCTGTTTTCCACTTGGGCCACCATAGGTGCCCTGATATGAGTGATGTCAAGCTGGCTGTGCCCACTCTGGCCACACCCACTCCAGCCCCCCAAAGGTCAAACACAACCTGATGCATCCCTCAATGAAATTGAGTTTGACACCCCTGCTGTAAATGGTGGGCAGTTAAAGAAACACAAGGGAAAAAAGGAAAAGTGTAAAAAAGGAAAAAAGAAAAATATTGTTACTTATCACTATGCTATTATCACTTATGAATATAATTAGGCACAAAGAAGATTAGTTCTCTATTTTTTGTTTTGCATAATAAACTAACATCATGTAAATATCAAAAGAAACATTCAGCATTTGAGTCCGTGGTTTGTACCTTAATTGGAACACTCCAACAAGCTGGGAAAATAATTTTATTTAAAATTGTAAAACAAAACAAAACTCTGCAACTAATTTTGAAAGTACTTTTTTTTTAAAGCAAAAGCTCTATAGTTGGAAAGAAGCAGATTATAATAGTCACAATTCCTTTACTTTGTAGAGTTTATTTTTGTGATGACCTGGGAAGCAGCACACACATAATAAATTCCCAAACGTAAATAAATTTCCTTTAATGCCTCCAACTTGGCCTCACTGTTCAATTGTTTGCAGTTGGAGATTAAACTCTTTCCAAAATAGTCTCCAAAAGAAAGAAATACAGTCCAAACTTAAAGAACAGATAACGGAGAAATAAAAAAAACAAAACAAACCGCACTGAAGGAATTTCCATGACAGACCAGAATAATTAATTACAAACTTCAAGAAGATAACAAGGCACAGTCTGTTGGAAGAACACCAACCAAGATAAACCTCAGCCAGAAATAAAACACGTTTTGCCTCCTTTATAACTATTTCCCCCAACTGCAGCCGATGAAGGGGATCATGGCCGCTTCCTCTCCCGTAAGCCACATTGTTCCCTTCTCCGTTCCTCCCTGCGTGCCCTAGGGTGAAGAGGGGATGGGTCTGGGTCTTTTTCTGACTGCTCAGCTGGTCTCTGCCCTTCCCCAGCCTTCTCCACAACCTCTGGAGCCACACTTCCACTGCCTGTCGGCAGTTCCTCCTTTCCCTTGGAGTCAATCTCCAACAGGGGCATGACAATTTTATTTAGTCCACAGGCAACAATATAACCAACCAAATTATCTACTTAGCATGAAGCTCCTGGAGATGCTGAGGGAATCAGGAATTATTTACCTTTGGGCATCTTTTTTAAGATGTTGAACACATCACTTTTTTCAATGAAATCTTTAGCCTTGAAGAAATGCATAGCTGGTGGAAATATCCCAGTTTCCATAGCTTTCATTATTTCTGTTTTTTTCAGTTGCATGAGGTTGTGGTTGAAATTTTCTTCCTGTTTTCCTAGGATAAGGTTGCCACCTGTACGCCGGGCATTCTCCATCTGAAGTAGCTTCTCCCGTTCAGTCACTGGGATGGTTACACATAAGGAAACCCAACTAAAAAAGAGGACCAGCCAACTTCCGAAACTCTGAACAACTTTCATTGTTACAGGGGCACAGCACACCTAGAAAACATGGACACAAATGCAATTTGTTTAAAATCTAAATTTTCTTAAGTATAGGAAATAACTGGAAAAGTCCAAGAGACCTGTTTTCAAAAACACATTCTCTGCTTGAAACTGAAGGACTTAAGTTTTAGAGATTCAAATATTAATTTAAGGATTCAAGAATTTCTCCAAGAGATTTTCCAGCCCACAATAATAGTTTGCCCCTTTCTAACAAAGGGTCCTTAAAAGCTCACTTGGGAGACACCCCCACAATTTACTTACTGATGATTTTTCCTTCCTTGGGCTCAGCAAAAGCTCTTTCACAAGCCAAAAGCCAATGCTTCTCAGGAACGTATAGGAAGTCCGGCTGTGTGTGGAAGCTAATCCTCCAACACAGAATGAAGTAGATATAGTAGCAGTTGCAATGCCTTTATTGAATTCCTCATCACTCTTTAAATAAAGGTGGAAGCCATGAAAATGGTAATGAATTACAGAAAAACTACAATTGTCATTCTCACTTAAGCAAAAATTACTATTATTCACCAAGAGAAGTATACATACACAGAACTGGGTCACATAGATCACCACCTCTCTGCCTCTCAGCTATCTTGGCATTAGTGCTTTAGGGACTTGGACCCAATTCAGCACAAGGAGTCTTGATGTAATGGACATCTAACAGTTCAGTCTTATAAAGGATATATGGAAGTAAATATAATGTTTTGAATGGACTGTGTTGACTAGGCCAGTGGTTGCCAACCTGTGGGCCATGAGAAAATTTTGATGGGCTGCAGAGAAATCTCACCCCCAGAACACCCTCTCAAAGCAATTAATCCAGGTTGTGCAGAAACACAAGGCTATGCCGCCCACATGGCCCGCGGGAACCCTCCCTGCCCACTCACTCCTTACCCAGCAAACTTGCTTGCTAAGTTGCTATTTTTCCTTTTTTTCCCCCCCAACCAGAGCCAAACCTTCCTTAGGACTGAAGGTTCTATTATTCAGTGCAAATTCATGGCAAGCAAATTTTGTGTGACAGACTGAGCTAGTCGATGGCAGATAGATAGATCACTGAATAATTCTGTGAGCAACTCAACTTGCCTGCCTGCTTTTCCTGATTTTGGATAAAAGTTGCTCTTTTTAAATAAGAAATTCAATATTTACATACGTGGTGTGTTGTGAGTTAATTTTGTGAGTTTGCTTGCAAGCAAACTGTTTTATGTGACAGACTGAGCTAGCCGATGGCAGATAGATAGATCTCTGAATGAATCTGTGATTCTGTGAGCAACCCAATCTGCCTGCCTGCTTTGGGTAAAAGTTGTTCTTTTTTTGTAAAAAATTCAATATTTATATAAATATTTATAATATTTACATACATACCATGCCCAGCCAGTCACATGAACAAGCCACACCCACAAATCAGGCCATGCCCACAGAACCTGTTAGTGGTCCCTGGGATTTAAAATTATGAATTTGGTGGTCCCTGAGGTCCAAAAGGTTGGTGACCCTAGACTAGGCTGCTTACAGGTAGTCCTCGACTTACAACCACAATTGAACCCAAAATTTATGTTGCTAAGTGAGAAATTTGTTAAGTGAGTTTTGTCCCATTCTACAACTTTTCTTACCACATTTGCAGATGACGCCAAACGGAGGGTGGAACTGCTAACATTTTGGAAGACAGATTCAAGATTTAAATGGATCTTGATAAGATTTGAGCATTAGGCCCTATCTAACAAGATGCAGTTCAGTGGTGAGGAAAGGAAGGTCCTGTACTTAGGCTGAAAAAAAGAAATGTAGTGTACAGAATAGGCAGTACTTGACTCAACAGTAGTAATGTATGAGAGAGAGCTAGGTATCCTACTGGATCACTACTTAAGTACTTAAGCATGAGCAAGCAATGTGCTGTAGCTGCCAAAAAAGGCAATGCATTCCTAGGCTGCATCCATAGAGGTCTTCAAGATAATTCCACATTATACCACACTAGTGAGTCCACATCTGAAATACAATATATCTAAGATAGATGGCAATATCTATAGCCTCTAAGAAAGCATGAGTTGGAGGGCCATACTGTGAAATTTAAAAAGAATGAAGGCAATGCAATAATTTGGAATGAACTACCAGAAAAATCTCTCATAGCACCAGATAAGATATAATTAAAGGACAACACAACTAATTATTATTATTTGTAGGAATCCTGGATTTTATTTTCTGATAAAGCTATTAAAACAATTGCTACAGCGGTTCAGATAGATGCTTGGCCTGCCCAGCACTTAACCATGATCCTAAATGTATATGAGGTCATAATTGTATGTTCACCTATGCAGAGATTATGAGTACTAAAGAGAGGGAACTAGAAGTCTTAACCTAAGAATCCAAATAGACCAGAGAGATGTCATGAAACTCAATAAGATCAAAGCCATGGCAGGAAGGATAGCAAATAGGACTAGATAAGCCTATTTCCTTTTCTTATTCTGCATTCCTCCTTCTCTGCTGATACAGGCATCTTAAACTCCCCCCAAAGAAGCTGACAATGAGCAGAAGTCTCTTTTGAAGCTGGGAAAGCCAGCAGTAGTTACTGCCTAGTTGGCATAGATAAGACCTCTGAAGATTCTTGTTCTGTATGACAACAGAAGTCATTTTTGCCTCCTTCCACTCTGACCCTGCTCTGTTGATCTTAACAATTGCTACCTGCTGGCATGCAACACAAGGGAGGGCCAGGGGGCTGGACACAAAGGCCCCTTTCAGATGAGGGGTTTACCCTAAAGCAGCCAGGCTTGGAGAAGGCAGGGTGAACAATTTTCCTCCCCCTCCAACCCCCTCTACCCAACCACTTTGCATTTCAATCAAAGCCAACAATCACTTTGCAATCCCCATTCTCTGCTGCTCTCTGCACTGTGGGACTTATCCTACCTGCCCATCTCTGGCCACCAGAAGGAAATGGATACTCATGGAAAGAGGAACTGGATAAATCTTTTTCTCTTCCCAGTAGTGATTTATGAGCATTTGGGGTTAAAGAATATGGATACAAATTAAATGCCAACATACTTCACTTAATCTGAGCATATACAGGTAGTCCTTGACCTACGATCACAATTGAGCCCAAAATTCGTTAAGTGAGTTTTGTCCCATTTTATGACCTTCCTTACCACCGCAGTTGACAAGTTAGTAAGCTAGTTGTTAAGTGAATCTGGCTTCCCGCATTGACTTTGCTTGTCAGAAGGTCGCAAAAGGTGATCACATGATCTTGGGACACAGCAACAACAGTCATAAGTATTGTTGGAAGAATTATCCTTCTGGGTTCAGTTCCAAGTGGGGAAAAAGACACTGGAAACATGGAGGCTGCTTGGAAAGATGGTTTAATGGTGGACAGGACCACATGGTTTGGAGCTCCAAAGAAGGAAGGATGATCACATGCTTCAAGATGTTGGGTGAGGGAAAAGAACGGAGGGCTAAGATGCTGAGAGTCCCTTATATGCCCTTTGTTGGGGTTTGAATTTGAGGTTGTATTCTGATTGGTTGTTAGACTCCCATGGGGCAACTCTGTAGGCTGTCCTGAGTCCCAGGCTGGCTTGAGCCTTGCTGGATGATGATGCAGTGAAAGGGCTTTGGACAATTCCTATTATAGTTCTACCTGGAGATCTTTGTTATATAAAATATTCTGGCCCAGGCCTTAATGGCCCACCCATTAACAAAAATGGGGGTGAACTTCTGCTTCTGTGGTGAGTTTCTGCTTCTGAGTTTCTACTCTTTTTAGGGGAAAGATTCTCCCTTTTTAATATTTCCTAGGATATTTCATTTTTCTAGGAGAGGGGTGGGCGCTAACTTCCTACAGTATGAACCATTTGCCAAGCACCTGAAATTTGATCACATGGATCATGGAGATGCTGCAGAGGTCATAACTGTGAAAAATGGTCATAAGTCACTCTTTTTCACTGTCGTTGAAACTTTGAGTGGTCACTAAATGTACTGTTGTAAGTCAAGGACTACCTGTGCACATTAAAGCATGGTTTCTCAACTTAGGGAACTTGACAATATACATGGACTTCAACTCACAGAATTCCCCTGGATGGCTAGGGAATTCTGGGAGGTAAAGTCCACACATCTTCAAGTTGTGAAGCTGAGAAACAGCCTGCCCAACTAATTTGACCAAGGTACTTAAATGGATAGATAACAAAATTTGATTTAGAGACTCTCTAAATCAAAGCTTGAAGATAATTTGTTATCCATAAAATGGGGTGATGATCTGCAAGCAGGGACTTATGTTCCTCCTCTAAACAACTATCAAAGCTTTTGCTGGGGCATGCCCGACCATTTTATGTGACCACACATAGAATATGGGCACACCATGTTCATCACACAATATTATAAATTAATTTTCTGTCATTGCCTATTGGTCTTAGTCTCTCCACAATCCCCCAAATTATAAATAGGCTGTATTAGCTGACTCCTCATAACATCTTAAACCAGGGGTCTCCAACCTTGGCAACTTTAAGCTTTGCTGGCTGGGGAATTCTGAGAGTTGAAGTCCGCCAGGTTTAAAGTTGCCAAGGTTAGAGACTTGTCTTAAACCACCACCCACCCACCCCACCAATCTAATCAGGATTTACAACTAACAAAGCATGTGTGAATATTAAGTGTTGGGTCTTTACCTCATCCAGCAAAGCTCATTGCCTAAGTGCAGCACCCCAGAATATATTTATGAGCTGGATCTCGCAAAAGACACTTCAGATACTTGGTAAGCCCTAACACAGGAGAAATGCCACACACACACAAACACACCCTGGTTTTTTTGAGTATTATTCCCCAAGGGAAGACTGAATTCTCGAGTTGCCTGGCTGTACTATGGTTACAAACCTGAAAGGTAATGCCTGAGAAAGCCTCTGGATCTCCCTCCTGCAGCCAGCTGCTTTTTTCAGTCTGTTGGACCACCCTTAACAGCAGAGCAGACTGTAAACAACCTCCACCTGCTGCCACTTCCAACCCCGCCTCCTCTACAAATCAGCTGCATTTCTCCAAAAGTGTCC